TATATATATATATATATATATATATAAGATTTTCAGATGAAATATGCTCAGTTTACAAATAAACACACACATACCCATATCTATATATATCTATATACAGTATTTATATATAGATATGGATGTGTGTGTGTGTTTGTAAACTGAGCATATTTCATCTGGAAATCTTTATTTATATATGTATATATATAGTTTTTCTATACAGATCTACCTATCTACCTATATCTATAGATAGATAGACAGATATTGTTTTTCTCTTCCTGCCCTGCAATTTATCTTGAGAACTGAGAGACAAGCTGACTTTTTTCAGCTTCACACTTCATTGCTACTAATCAAGGTTCTCCACATTTCTGGATGAAGACCACTGTACTGCACAGAGGTATTTTTATCACTACAAACTAAATGTTGCCAATTTGGCCTCTCTCACACCAATGCTATCTTTGCTGCACAGATGTAACCAACTGGTCATCATTGTCAAACTTCAAAACTGTTTTTTTTTTCTGTACGAATACTTGCTGCAGCACATTCAGCTATGTTGATGCTTCAGGTATAATAAAAATAAAAAAGCAGTTAAAATGTAGGTGTGTCACTGAAGTCAGCAGACGTTAATACGAATTATAGATTGGAGAGCAGCTGAATAAGATGGTGCCATTTTACATCATCGCTTCTCAGAGTACAACTGCACTTTAGGGTACTGACTTAAAATATTGAAAGCAGAATAGCAGAAGTAAGATTTAAAAGGATTACAGTCTCACTAGGGATGTGAAAGGTTAAACAACTAATTTTTAATTAATGAGCCCAGTGATAACTGGTTAGCTTACTCTGTATTTTTTTAGTGCCAGGTGGGGCACAGTCTGGTAGGGAAAGGAATCCATGCCATGCCCCAGCAGGAGGAAAAAGGGTGGGGCCGAGGGGGAACAGCAAAGGGGGACTAGTACCCATAGTGTCTGAGGTTAAAGAGGAAAGTGGCAGGCAGCCTAATGACTCGTCAGTTAAGCAATTAGTTGCTCCTACACAGGAGCTCCCTATCTCCCAGCATGGGGCTTTATGTAGGCTGTGTTGTTTGGCTGGGCTTGTACCACTGCCTCCCCACTCCCTGCTCCTATCCCTTCCCCATTAAAGGGCCCTGGGAGCAGATCCCAGCAGCAGGTGTCTCAGAACTGCTATATTATCAGTTAACCATTTAACCAATATAGTTAGAGAAGGTTACATGGATAACTTCTAAAATGTTATATACATCCCTAAGTCTCACCATGTATTCGACTTTTATATGTGGAAAAGCATGCAGCCAACTTCTTTGTACATGCAATTTCGAGGACTAAGTTTTGCAGGCCTCAAAACCTGGATGCATGTAAGTCCTGTATACTAAGAAGCTGCTTTGTAAGATACGGTTCATTCTGTCAAGTCCTTCACTGGAATCGATGAGAGTTTTAGCCTTAATGGGGATAAACTTGGCTGTTAGGTGAAGACTTCATATAGAATCATAGAAAATGATAATTGGAAGAGACCTTGGGAGGTCACCTAGTTCAACCCCCTGCGCAAAGCAAGACTACCCCTATCTAGATCATCCCAGCCAAGGCTTTGTCTCGCCGAGTCTTAAAACCCTCCAAGGATGGAGATTCCATAACATCTCTGGGTTATATTTACTATCAGTTTCTCCACTTTTGAGCTGTTGATCTATGAGCTGCTAATACAGTGGCAATGTTTAATATAATATCATCTAATGTGCAATTTTTATTTCTGGCTAGCACACATGCAATGATTTCTTCTTAGAACTAATTTATTTCATCATTAAATGTGCAGTGGCAAAAATATTTTAGTAGTTTTTTCCTTCCATTAAGAAAAAGAAAGACATTTCAAAATTTAAAAATCCTATAAGCAGAAGTTGTTCTCTTTCTTTGATGTTTTGCCAGTAGACATGGCAGAACCGTTTTAAGCCTAGCTAATTTAACTCTGAAGAGAGGGTGTTACATATATAGCAGTAACTTTTCATGACATTTTTCTCTATGCCACACTGTTACAGTTGACACTTCACTAGGAAATTGCAGCAGCTGAATTTATATTTGCATGGTAGATGACTTAAAAGATCCAGGGAACAGATTCAAAGTCTAGGGACACTTCTTTTCCAAGTTTTGAGTCCTGTAGTTTCATTGATATCATACTGAATACCAGTTAGGCGCACGCTAATCCACTGTCAATGGAAATTATATTTCTGAGAGTACTGTCTGCCGTAAAAAATGTACACCCCAGAAATGAGCTTGGGTGGCAAGCGAAAATCTGCTACAGTGTCCAAACATTTTTTTACAAGAGTATACTTAACTGTGTAAGTTTAGCCTGGATATTGTAAGAAGGTATCTAACCATCCAAAGGTGAAGAAGGGCACTGACAGATGGGGGCGGGGGGCAGGGAATAACACGCTCTACCAGTGCGTTGCTCCGACCTGGCTCCACAATGTGCTTCGGGTGCTTCAGTGGGGCTTTTTGGTGCTTTTAGCTAAAGCTGATTCAATCAGTTATTAGAGAAAAGAGCCAAAAAAGCCCCACTAAAGCACCCGGTCTCTAAGACTTTGGGAAAGCTGGGTGCAACTAATGCACTGCCTCTTCTGGGCATGTGCTGGGCTTGGCATGGGAGGGTGCTGAGTTTAAAGTAAAGCACCATTTCCCCCCACCACATCTAGAAACAGCTGAAGTGAGAAGAGTTTGCAACAGATTATATGACGTGTTTGTCTGTGGTCAGGCCGCTGCCAGTACTGCTTCTTTCTTCAGTCCTCCAATCCAAAAGTGGTTTCTGTCAGTTAGAGGGCCATTTCCACCTTAAGAATATGAAAGTACTACTTTAAACTGCATTAAACCCTTCCAATTAATATTGAAACATTAGCAATATAAGAACAAATGGTTACCACGTACCTATGGCATGTATGGACCGAATGCTGGCATAAAAATACAAGCAACCATCCTTCAAAATGCAGTAGTGCTGAACCCAGACATCCTTGGTTTTGTCTAGTTGGTGGAGAAGACCCAGGCACTCTGGGTTTTTGATAGCGAGGGGTGGCAGGCTCGTGTTGTACAGGGTGACATCTACCCATACATGGTTCTACGTATTTAGTAATGAAATAATTGCATATAAGAATTTATCAAGAACTCTGCTTTCCTTATGCAAACATGCTAGCTCAATCCCTTTCCCCCATTCTAAAAGCAATGTACTTGTACAGTGTATTAGAAGTGCATTTAAAAGCATATGCAAGACAGCAAATAGTTATTGACTTCTCCTTCTTAAAAGAATTACTGGTCTTTTTCTTCATATATTTTGTTTAGCAGTTCAAGGTGGTGCAACTTGTCCTAAGAGGACTACTGCACTAACTGTCTGGTGACCTTATTTCTCCTTGTTTCAGTTCAGTTTTTATGGCTTCCAAAAATAGAATGTGGCAAATTAAGGATCCCGTTCTAACCAGGGATGCTCATACACAACTGCCACTGACATCCATGAAAGTCACAGGAGCATCTGGGGACAGAATATAAGGCTTGGAGGAAAGCATTACTAGATACTTATGGTTGGCTTTCCCATCTCATCTTGAAGGCAAAATCTTTTTGACCTAGTCAAAGATTTCCTTATTACTATTTCTGGAAGAAGATGTAAATACCTAGGCTGCTGATAGCATTGGCCAACAAGACAGAGCAGGATTGCTGAGAATCATAAGGAGCTAGACAAAAAGGGGAAAAAAGGGCAGGGAGGGGAGAGAGGGGGGCAGAACTGCATAGAGTAAGATTGAACCATGAACAACATATTTTTTTCTTCTCTTTCCCATCTAAAAGTATATTTGGAACCTAACTTCTCCATCTAAGACTAGCATGTATTGTTTATATGCAGTTTTAAAAAAAAAATTGTTGCATCAACCTGTGCCATTGTCATTTGGAGTCAGGGAGGAGAATGTTTGCAATATCAATTGCATCTTGCTGTGTTACCTTTTCATTTGATTATGTTATTTCTTCTTCATCCTCAGGATGGTGAAGGGAAAAATAGCTAAAGAAATATAGCTCAGTGTCATCTTTACTGTGAACTGAAAATGTTTTCTCTTGCTGAGGAGAGGAATGCAGTATTATGCATGCAAGAAAGGAATGTAGTGCATGAGTGGAAAAGACCCCCTTATTTATTAGGAGGACAAAGTGTCATTATATCAATATGCTGAGCAAGAGTATTAATGATCAGGAGAAGCACAGTCCTGCTGGGGTATCATGAATTCTGTAGCTTACTCCAAACCAGTGGGGGCCAATCTTTTTGGCAGGTATGCCACAAATTAAGCCCTCTGTCCTCCACAGTACTATTCTAAACCCCATCACCTATCTGCTCTGCTTCCTGTTCCCTGGCCTGTGCTCTGTGTTCAATCTTCTGCTCTGCTTTCTGCTCCCTTCCTATCTGCCACCATGCTGCCTGCCCCCTCTCTGTTCTGCCATACACAACACAAGGCTGCCCATGCCACTTGTGGCATGCATGCTGCAGGTTGGCCAAACCCTGTTCTAAAGTTTCAGTTATAGGACCCTGAATAGCATTTTAAGGAGCAAATAAAGAAGTTTTGGTGCAACTAAAAATGAATGTAGAAAGCAAGTAACTAAAAAAAGAACCTGGAAGAGGAAATCATTGAAAAATATTCATTAATAGAATAAATTACATGATGAAATAGATACAGAACCCCCTCCCCCCATTCCTCCAGAAATAACTGTTGTGTACTTAGAGATGAAACAGTTGAAGATGGCCATTCAGTAGCTTAGAAAACAAGTCAAATAAATTACTGATCATGTTGGTGGTGGCTGAATCAATGTAAGATCTTTTGGACAATAGGTATTAAGAGGACTTTTTCACATAAATGGTATCCAGTTAATCCATAAAAGAATGCTGGGAGGTAGAGAAGTATAACTGACATCATTTTATAGATGAGTGAAATGAGACACAGAAAAGTTAAGTGAGTTACCTAAGACCTCACATTGTGTCAGTGGCAGAGATAAAAACAGAACACAGGAGTCCCCATGTCTCCCAATCCCACGCTTCGTCCACTAGAGCAGTCTGCTTCTCAAATAAGAAAGAATTACCTGTTGGATGGGATGCACAGCTTTATCCATGGCTTCCAACCACCTACAAAATGAGCAAAACAGAGAATAGCTCATCTTGGTAGAATGGAATAAATACACTTTAAAAAGTTTTAATTTTGGCTGAAATACGCATGTTTCAGAGAGAAGTGCAGTGTTCAGGACAGGCTAAAGCTTGGAAACAAACACATACACATGCATGTGCACACAATGCACTATTGTCTAGATTGGCATTACTAACTAGGAGCAAAAATATATTTTGCCTTTTGCTGGATGGCAAATTATCCTAAGTAAAGCAATGTAACAGGGGATATCCACAAACACTTGTTTATGGACTAGACTTTATCTGTTAGACAAATTGTTAGTACTTCCTAGTTCTTTTTTAAAAGACTGGCTAGGGCTTAAAGGGAAACTTTAAATGGCTGTCACAAACTGGGTATTACAAAATAAAGAAACTGACTTTGTGACAAAGTTTTCCATTTGAGCAACATTCTGGCTTGGTACCATCATGCATTGTTACTTTTATTTTTAACTAGTGGGGAGGTGCTTGGATACTATGAGAATAGGTGTTCTGTAAGTGCTCTGATATAAAAATAGAAGGATGGATGAGTCAGGCCATATCAAATATCACCCTTGTCTATATCTTTGCACTTTCAAAAATACAGGAAAAAGGAAAGGGCAAAGAAAATTTATTTTCAATGCATTATGTCTGCACTGACAGTGGATACTAGATTGGCCTAAAATGAGTCAGAGGGATTCAAAGTACTGCTTAAAAACCATTACATACATCTTTTTCTGGTAATAATTTAAAATCCTCGGTGAAAGCAAAAGAACATTATTAAAGGCTCCCTAAATGAGGGACAAAACCAATCTAGCTGTCATTGTTCCAACAAAACCTATAATCAGGCCCAATGTGCTCTTGTAATGTGTTAAAGTTTTAAAACCGAGAAATAATGTTACAGAGAAAGCAGAAGTGCTTTTAAGAAAGAGACTTTGCTTTTTCATTTCAGTTTCTGCTGGGAAAAACATTGAGAGGCAAAATAACTACCTCTAGCTACTTTGGTATGAAATAAAGGATAAACTGGCAAAGAATCAGGAAATTATTTCAATTTACTTTAAATATAGGGATAAGGGGAAGGGAGTTAAGAATGTGGAGAGACTTCTTTTCCAGAGAGATCACAATTTGATAAAGATGCTATTTGTTATGCTTTCCTGAAATCCTAAAGAGAGGAAGAAAGGCAAAAAAAAATAAAAAAAAATCTTCCCTTACATAGGTGACTAACAAATATCTTTTTAAAACTCATCTTTATGATAGGTTTTGCACCAAAACAAAATGTGTGCGTGTGTATCAAAACATTTTAACAATATAAAAAGATTTTTTACCTCTTCATCTCTTGGCTTGAAGTTGCACAGAAGTGGAAAATCCTGTTTCCAGTTTGAGGTATGCACTTAAAAACAAATGGTTTCCCCAGGCCGGTGTCAATGCCAATTTCTGCCCCTTCCAATTTTGTCACCTCCAGAGGTTTGCACTTTCCTTCATCCTATAATTGATGAAGTAGAAGTGAAGGAAACTTACAGCACAGCATTGGGAAACTGAATTGATATTGGGAAATGGCCAGGCTTTAGATATTGTAAGGAAAGACACACATGGATGTTTACTGTCAAGTTGGTGCCTTTGAAAATATCCCACTAATTATTATTTAAAACTGGAAGGTCCAGAAAACATATGCAGTAGATTTGCTAAAGACAAATATTTGAAGTCTCTTATTGGAGATTCTTATTTGTCCCTGCAGGTTTGTGTACACTACCATTTTCTTTCCTGGGAGAAGTGATTTTTGAGTGTATGTCCTCCATTTCCTGCTTGTACACAATTCAAGCAGGAAATGTTTGTTCCTGCTTGTACACAATTCAAGGTTGAGGGATAGACGTGATTAAGAATGGCATTTTCAAAAGCTCCATCAGGAGTACCTGTTACTTTGACACTCAGTGTGCATTTAACTCTTTACTTTCTTTACTCCTTTGAAAATCTCACCTGGAGTATGCAGGTCTAAAGCAGATATTTGTGCTCACAGAATTGTGGGCATAAATTAACAGAGTGGATTGACCTCTTTTGAAAATTTATCCTAAATATCAATTTATACAGATTTTCTTTGTTGTTTTTGGGCAACATTCAAGATAGCCTATTTCAAAGGCTTTTATTATAGACTGGTTTAAAAATCTTTGAAACTGGAGAGCATAATCAATGTTGTTCATTTAAGAGAGTTGTAAGAAGCTATTTAGTTCCTTAATGTCATCAGGTAGGTGAAACAGTAGAAGCATCACCCAAAACACAAGTATCTATCACTGCTCAAAGCAAAGCTGCATGTCAGACATATAGGCGTACTGGCTTGGCTGTGTTTTTAAACTCCTTTGTTTTTAAGGGGTGCTCCTGAAGCAGTGGCTATTGCTTCCTATTGAACAGTGGTGAGGGAATAATTACACTGTCCAAAGATGATGGTAGTGAGTACTGCAGTGAAGCACAGCAGCCTGCTCCATGTCCACTGGACTCTGAAAGGATGTAGTATAGCCACCCTCACTGCAGTGCTGAGTGCACCAATAGACGTGCCTGAGACGGAGAGCTTGTTGGTTACGTGACACATTTTTTCAGGGTATTTCACACAGAGTAGGTATGTTGTGTTTCTCTACATTTCTCTGTACCACAGTCCATTGATGGCATAAACACACCTTTACTGTTCGAACATGTAGACAGCAGTAGCGCTATTTGCAAAGCACGTAAATAATCCTCTTTTACAGAATAGAACTAATGAATGACTCTGAAATCCAACAGGCTCTAGCAGTAAGGACCAAACTTCAAAACATTTAAGAGATGCTTTTGCTGCTCCTGAAATATATGCACACAAAGAAATCTTTGCATTCCCAAAACCTCCAGCTGAGTTTATAAAATGAGCACTTGTGCATAGAAAAATCCAATGGAACAAGTAGCTGCCTAATTGTCCCAGTGTATGTGTTTTCTGCAGGAGCAGAATAACCTTTTCAATTTTTTAATCTGCCACCTAAATACACCCTCAGCAGCTCATTTCCCCAGTCATTGTGTTTTCTCCCTTATTTTTATATCGCAGAAAATCAGCTAAATATCCATAGAACAATGCCAGCAGTCCACACAGTCTAATCTACTTTATGCATAACGCTTCCAAACATGAAACTGTGTTGAAAAACGCCAGATTATGCTTTGTGTCCACTGATCCAGTCCACAGGTAATTCATTTCTCCTGTTGCTGGGGTGGTAATGGTAGTAAGATATGGTTCACAGAACCTATGCTTTCTCCAGGATCTTTCTGTAGTATCATGAGTGGAGCCCATGCAGAGCTTTGGGTACTCAGGACTTTTTGTGGGCCCTCAAGATGCATTTCTCTAGTGATGGGGCAGAGTCTTGAATTGCCCTGTCCATATACACAGACATCTGTGGTAGAGTCCCCCGCCGCTGGAATGTAGCCCAAGGAGGGCCCTAGTGGGGTAGTGTGCTTGTAGGGATACACATAAGTTGGCACCTGAGCAAATGATGGTCTGTGACAACTGTCTTTCCTGTTCCCCTTATCGGTGCTTCAAGCAATTGGATCCACTGCCATTCTGATTTAACAAGTCCACAAAGGAGGTGGTGCAGATTTGGGGGCTTATCTTTAAAAGTAAGATCAAGTGTCCTTTTGTTTGCTAAAATGATATTTTCTAATTCTATCTTTGATTAATGAGAGTTTTGTGCGAAGAAAGCCACCTTGCAGTGAGGTGGCTTTCTTCAACAGTGGCTCCTGGTTTTGGTCCAAAACATTTTTCTTTTTTGCCCCAAAGCACACAAATGGCCTATTGTTGAAAAAGCCAGTAATGTAACTATGAGTGAGCAAGTGGGACACCAGTCCTGAGTGCTGACTGGTGGCCTCCCCCACTGCTGACCTGGCTGCCAATGCTGCCATCTCCACTGCCCATGGTGCAATAGCTGCTTGTTATGCCTCTGGACAAAGCTACAGGACATGGAACTAAGCCCAGTGATGGGTACTACTGCTACCACACATATGTATAACTGAATCACAAAAATATTCCTATAGTTTGGGAAGGGGGGGTGGGATTTTGAAATTTGAATAATCTGAAATTTATGATGGAATTATGTCTGCCAGCAAATATTCCATAGATCACCGGTGATCCACAGAATGCCTTTTGAGGTCTCCTGGGTAGAGGGCAAAGTGTCTGTTTCATGTTTGCAATCTCTGCTCTGAGAATGAAGACACGAGCAGGATTGGATCCATGTGGGGGCGGTGGGGAGGTTGGGGGCACTGGTGCACTTGTGCCCTGTAAAAGGGAACCAGAGGGCTCATGTTACTTTAAGGGAAGACAGCAAGCTAAGTTTGTTGAACGTGGCTGCAGCAGCAGGAGCACACGCTGAATAAAAGGGGAAACTTCTGTGCATGGCTGGGGAGCCACATGACAGAAAGGAGGTGGGGCTTCGAGGCATATAAACCCAGGGCCTGGGCCAGACTGGGCAGTCAGACTTTGCATGCTGCAGGGAGGGGAGCCTCCCAGGGAAGCTGACTGGAGGAAGCAGGCTCATGGGCACCCAAGCTACCCATGAGCATGAGCCCAGCACTGCCAAGTATAGCTTGGAGTACGGTATTGACCCAGAGAAGGGAAGGACTGTTGTAGAAGCAGTTTGCTGATATTTCTTTTATGCTGATATGTATGTTTGTTTAGCCCTGGAGGACTGGATTGTGCCTATGGGGGAGATGTGGAGGTCCCAGAGGAGTGACTGGTAGGAGACTCAGCATCAGGCAGCCTAGCCTGGGGTCTTTGCCCAGAGGGCCAAGAGCTGAGGAAGCAAGCAGTCAAGGACCAGAGGACTGAGGGCAGAGATGATGAAGGCAGCCTGTCCTGGAGCACACAAGACAGAAGCCCAAGAAGGGCAAGAGCAGAAGATGGGCCAGGACAGTGGAGCTTAGGCTAGTGGGCCCAGCTAGAGGAAAGGGGCTGAAGCCAGGAAGGCAGAAGCCCCACCAAAGGTTTGAGGCTAGAGGGACTGTGTGTGGAGTTGGGGTCAAGGGTCTTCTCCTCCTCTCCCCACCCAAATATCGACTGCCATCTGTGAGGCATGGGCATGACTATAGGGGTAGCTGGAGGTCACAATTATTGCCCCTAAGGCACAACTGGGGTTGTCTTGAAGGGGAAACTCACCCTGTAGGGTTTAGGGCAGAGACACCTGGAGGATTGTACACCAAGGAAAGGCATTTAGGAAAAGACTATTCCGGCCTCTAGAGGGAGAGCCTCCCTAGTTAAAAGACCCAAGGTCAAGTAGTGGAAGGCAAGAGACAGGAGGTAAAAGGAGACTGGGGAGCATGGGCAGGTAAGTCAGACCATTAGGAGGTGTCTGATGCCAGGCAGATTGCATGAGCCTGTCATATGCCCCTTTTGATTCCTAGTCCACCCAAAGTTTAAAGCAAACTACCTAGCAGGGGCAGCACCACTTCTATTAAGGCAGCAGTGAGGGAGTCAGTTGACTTACTGGCTTATTATAATTTCCTCAGTCCTTTCAAAATTCTTCATTCCACAAGTATTAATGATCCTCTTTCCTTTTAAATGGTCTTTAATGGTTCCACTACTCCAGCTATCCTTACTTCTGAAATACTGCTGTTTCTTAGCTGCTCCTAGTAACGTAGCTCCCATTTCACAGCTCCGCATGCTGTTTTTTTAACTCTGACTAAAACATAAAATCTGGTGTTTAACTATTAGCTCAGGTGAACATTAGCTTTGGTGTGGAAATCACTTTCAATGAAGCATTGGAGGCACTGTCTACTGTCAAGAAGTCTTGGTTTTGTTTTATGAAACTGAAAGAGACACACATTGAACTATAATGCCATGACAAATGAAACAACATCTTTGGATTATTTTTGCCTAGTTTGTTTTGTTTTTCTATATAATGTATGATATAGCAAATCAATGAAAATTCTAATAAAGGGGGTTTTTTGCTTCAATTTTAAATTGAATAATATAGCTCTAAGCCCCTGCTCATGAGTGAAACTTCTAGTTTCTTTTTTAACTGGAGAAAAGTGTGTGCTTCGTTATATGTGATGTTGCACCACACCATCTGCACCCCCTTTTCAAAATCCTAGATCCACGCGTGGACATAGGTGAAATAATCTCTCAAGGTTAGTTCTCAGTTTCCTCAGTTCTCCCTGAGTTTCAGGAAAACTGTTCTTCTGAAAATTGAAAACATTTGGCAAAGCATATCAAAGAGTAAGAGCAAAAGCCTATTTGAGGCTTAGAGAGGGAGTAGTGAGAAAAAAGGAAATGTGTTACCTAATCCTTTCATTGAACTAATTGGTTGATAATGTAGGGTGTGTAGCTAGGTACTCATGAACTAGTCCTATTTTATTTGTCATAAACACATTCAGAAAATAAATGACACCCAGAACATGCCTTGAGCAATTCACTATGATCAAAGGATATTGTTTGAATGGAAATGTATTTGCTATTCTTGTTAAGCTGCTTTGCCTAAGAACAAG